TCAAGCAAAAATTTTGCATTCAAAGAAAGCATGATCACAAAATTAATGCTTTAAGAGCTAAATCCATTTCATAGAACATATTAAAACAGAATAATAGAACGGTAGCCATGAAGCTGTTGGGCACAAATTTGCATAGTTTTGACGATGAAGCTTTTGGAGTCAGCTCAAGCCTATTCTTAACGTGTTCATAAACCGCGCTGCTCTCTGACACTCTGCAAACTTATTTATTCTCGAGGAACATAATTAAACAGCAACATCTCAGCACATTTTAACATTTGATTTTTTTTTTTTAATAGGAAGTAGAAAATTTGTTGAGGCCAGCATCCAATGGCATCGAAAGTAAAGGTGATTTTGGTGGAATTATGAAAACCAATAAAGGAGATTCCTTTCAAGTCTCAAACATGAATCAATACAGACATGGAAGTTATGAAAATCTTGTTTGATGATAATCAGAGTTAAGTTGATACTTGTGATCTTATGATCAGCTGTTACAAATTTTAACATGGGACTTAAAAAATACAGTGTATTTTGAAGTCTCAATTTGAGGGCTTTAACAGGCTAAACAGTGTACATACGGACTCTAGAGTTAGAAAAATTTTAATACTACCTTATTGGGATATATGATTATAGTTAGTTTTCCTTTGTGTTTTAGATATTGAACAGGTTCGCATGCAAGAGCCTGATTTAGCTTAGAACCTATATCAGATTAAATGGATGAAGTTTTTTTTTTTTCACACTTTTACTCTGTTGTTTATTGGGTGTTTGTTGTTCATCAGGTTGTTTTCTGCAGTGGTATTGGGCTTGATGTATGAAGCAATATTGCCTTTTATGTTTGTGTCCTTGTTTCTTACTCACTGTGTTGTTTAAAGCATAATTAATCCTTTCATTTTTTTTTTTAAAACTATGAGAGCGTTTTATATATCATGATGAGAGGGAGGATATGTGGCAGCGTCATATATATAGCTGCGGTTTTGAAGACAAAGCACCACGTCAATCATTATTAAAGAAGTCATGCAGAAATTAGTCATCTACAGTACCAAGTTATTTTTTTACTTAATCAGCCTAATAATCACAAATTTATTAGAAACATTATGTGCAAAATAATAAGAGTTTTGAAACTCTACTTCTTGCTTTGACTTTGCAAAATGATTATATTCTGTGAACTTGAGAGGTTTAAGCATCCATATTGAAGGAATGTAAAATTCATTGATGGATTATTTCCCTTGATACACAGTAATGTTTTGCAATCGAATCATGATTGGACTAGGGGAAAATAGTAATTAAGACCTTGATCATCTCGTACTATTTTCTTGAGTTTCTTAAACTCATCAAAATTTTTATCAACAGTACCACTCAGCTTATGATTGAAGAAGATATAAATGTCACTAGTGTATAGGATGCATTTTTCTTTGAAAGAAAATTGTAAAATCAAAATGAAGGGAGAATTACAATAAGATCTCAAAGAAAGAAAATAATTACCAGTAAATCCTAATGACAAGTGAATAGTAGTCATTTACTATCTTAGAGCTTGTCATTACAAGGCTGCTCATGTTGTTACTGGGACTTTTTAGTGATTATATTCTTTGCTTGAGACTCATAATAATTCTCCCTAAAAGGAAAATAAAAAAGACAAGGGATTCTTAACACAGCATTTGTAGGAGGGTCACATTCACACGCTATGCAACAATAAATTCTTACTGGAAGAAATTCTTCCCTGTTTTAATCAGTACTCCCTTGTGTTCTTATTATAACATTTAAATAATTAATTTTCATGTATCAAAAAATTAATTAAAAGTAACAAATAGCTAAAAAATATATTTTTGTTTGCTCTTATAATAAAGGAGAAAAAAAGATGAAAGAGAATATATGAAAAAATATCATAAAGAGGGAGTGACAAAGGAGGAGAATAAATTCATTAAAGGCAAAATGGAAAAAATGTATTAAATGGAGAAAAAGTTTTGCCTTCCTTCTTCGGACAGCCAAATCCAATTCATTTATCATATTTCAAACATCAATACTTACAGAAACAATTAAAGAAGAAGAAAAAGAGGGCTCACCTACGAACAAAACAGAGATGCGGCGGAACAGAGGAAAGCGCACAGAGCAATGCCAAATTCAAACGAATCACTAAGAAGCAGCAAGGAAAGAAGAAACAAGAGGCGAACTGCTCACCTCACACCATCAAGGTGACGGACGGCAATGGCAGGAGGAGAAAAATGACGATGATTTCTCAAGAATAGTAAGCAAAGAAGAGGCCGACGGCGGAAGGAGAACGGCGCAACCACCGCGGCAGTGAATATAAGGAGGATGGAGGTTGACAGGAACTGCGGCTGAGATCCCCTTTTTCTAATTCTCCATAGGTTGCTTCTCTCTTTTTCTCCACTCCCTTTAGCGTAACAAGCCGAGAAAAATATCATGAAAACATATATATACACGCACAAAAGGACTATGGTGATTGCAAAGTGTGTGTGTGTGTAAAGAATTAAAATGATAAAAGTTTGTCTCATACATCGGTAGGATTCACAACAAACAATAAACATGTTTGTCCTAGACTACCAATCGATCTTATTAAAAATTTACAACACATGATCAAAATATTAAATAATTAATACCTCCGATTTTTAATATGAGAGCTAGATAACTAATTTGAAAAGATTAAAAAAATTAATTAAGTTGGTTAATTGTAAGAAACATGTGCTGACTTTCCTAAATTATTCTTTTTAATCATGTTCACTGGAACTATCATTTGATAGAAACGACGCCTTATGATCAATAAGGATCTTTTAGAACAAAAATAATAAATTTGAGAGACAAAGTAATTGAGGTCTTACATTTAGGATCAAATTCTAACTCTTATATTAAGAACCAGAGGCAGTATTTTACATTACTTTTAAGGCCATTACAGGATTTTTGCCATCTTTGAACATTTCTACACAACACAGGCCATTCGCACTTGCTTACAACAAAACAAGAACAGTGAATATGCATAATAGATAGTTGACCTACGGCCATTGGATCGTATATATATTAATACTTCCTCCTGAATCCTTTTCTATAGTCTTTAATACATACAAATGACGTAAAAACCTTCTTCATAGATTATATTAAATTAATGTATCCAGGAAAATTTTAAATATCCATCAAGCATGCATTAATATAAAATATAAATTTTAATCTAAAACCAGAAGGCTTGATCTACGTACCTTGGAAGTATAGACTCATCTTCTTCAACAACGGACTGATCATGATGTCTGGAGCATTGAGTATAACCTCCATCTTTCTCAACTTCGGTTGTATTACATCAGTGGCCTGTAATATTTCATCATTGTCCTGGGGCCCAGTATTTGCAGACCCATTGCTCCATTAAGTGCTCTTTTAGCAAGTAATTCAGCAATGCCATTGCCGTCCCTGTGAAAGACCTGGATATCCACAAACCAATCCCACTCTAGCATCCCTTTGATTTCCATGATGAGAGCAATATCCTTGTGCGTCTCAGGGACTTCAAATTTGATCAATCGAACAGCCTCAGCGGAGTCGCTTCTCAAGACAACATCTCTAATACCAGCGTCCCAAGCTCTTTTGAGACCCATCAAGCAACCCCATAGTTTTGCTGTGAGGGTATCTCCGCCACTTAATTTCAGAAGAAAAGCCTCCTTCATACAATTGTTGCCATCTTTAAGAACGCCTCCACAAGCTGCTTTGTCATCTAAATGAGAATAGGCGCCATCCACTTCTACAATAATGTCATCAGGTCTCGGCCGGGGACTATAACCTCCACTGTTGATGTCTGGATCAATCTTCACGTAGTTATTGATGATACTACAACCTTCGTCCCCTGTTCTTCGCCATGCTTCAACATCTTCTTTACACACCGCTCGCCACCCACACTTGCTTATTTTCATCCTTGGTGACTTATTTTCCATTGCATTCTTAGAGAAAAATACCATTTGAAGTCCATTGACAACCAAAGAGGAATAAGGAATATATTTTATATAAAGCAGAGGACTCTAGCCGGATGTAGATAAATACTATGCCCACAATACGAGTTTGGAAATTCATCATTAGGAAATCTGCAACTCCAACAAATTCCATCCCACCCCTTTCCAAATGTGAGATCGCGTTCTATGACTAAGCATATGGCTATGCCCCACCATTCACGTGAACCACAATAATCAGGGGATATATTTATTATGAACGACACATTATTTGGACACCACCAGAATTCTTTCGCGCAAAAGTAGTTTTGATTATAAAACCATGATGGTACTCTGCTGCCTGGAATTGTTAATGAGCGCGAACGTGGACGGAGGGAAAAAAACTGGGGCAAAAAAAAAAAAAAAATTGTTTGTATCAGAAGTATGTTGATTAACACGTAAGAAATGGCAATATATACGTACAAGTAAAATAAACTATATATTTATTGTCAAAGAAATTAAGAAAAAAACAGGTGATTCTAAAAACTCACAATTTCTGAATCCCTTCTTATAATTGCTGACTTCATATTTAAATGGTTGTGAACCTATAAGAAACAATTTTGCGTGTTAAAGAAGTAAAATGATAGAGGTGAAAGAACAATTAAAGACAAATAAAATAAACCTGAGGTTGAAATGATTCAATGAAATCCCATAATTGATCTGCACATCCGTAATGTTTCATTGATGAACAACCTTCAGCCCTATATTAAATAGATTTGACGGAAGTTGCGGCAAAGACCGAAGCCTTGGGCAACTCCAGAGACAAATACCCTTAAGCTTCGAAAGACTGGAAATGAGGCCAGATGGTAAGTCAATGAAATCGTTTCCACTTAGATCTAAAATTTCCAATGATGATAACATGCTGATGTCATCAGGAAGTGATCCATCATGGAGATTGCAGTTTCTTAAACGTAATTTTCAATGATGACAAAGACGGCAAAAACAAAAATTTTTGAGCTTGAAGGCCTTTGAAGAAGGGATAAGCAACTCCATGATGATGAAGATTGTGCTTCGCTATTGTAGTCACTAAATGATAACCCTTGTAATCCCACTCAAATCCAGCTCTTCCAAAGCTTCATTTTCATTCAAATTCTCTGGCAGCCATGAAAGCTTTGAGCATTCAGAAATTTTGATAACTTTCAGAGCTTTCAACTTACTAACACTACATGGAAGACAGACCAGCTTTTTGCAGTTTGTCAAATTTAATTCAACGAGACCAATCAAATTGCCCAGTGATTGAGGTAGTTTGGCTATACCAGTCTTCTCTAAATCAAGCTTCGATAGACATGTCATATCTTTTCCAAACTCAGGAAGTTTTCTAACTTTTGAACAACCCGATAGAATAAAAGTCTCCAAGCTATTCATCTCAAATTTTTCTGGAAGCGTTTTAACTTCTTTGCAATCTTTCAAGTCAACAGTGACAAGTTTCTTGTGTTGCCCAAGAGACTGGTGAATTTTAACCAAGTTAGAACACCCTTCAAGAATCAACTTTTCAAGATGAGGAATTCCATCAAAATTTGGGGTTTTGATGAGGTATTTTGAATGAGATAGATCAATGGACTTAAGCTTCGAAGAGACTAACAATAAGGGAAAAAGAAAAAGAAAGAATAGATCAAAACCAGAGACTAATTATAATTATAATTATAATTTATTAAATTATGGACAAACAATTTAAATAAAAGGATTGTGATTACCTGTGTTCCTCTCCAAAGTTTTTTAACTTGCTATGCTGCATTTTTAGCACAACAAGTTGATTGAGTTGAGGTTGACTTGGAAATAAAATAATGGATAGCCCTCCCATTCTATGACTTTCAACTCTTTGGAAAGAGACTTGAGTCCATGCTGAAGATTCAATTGGCAATGTGAAACATGTGAGCGACTTGAAATGATAAGTAACTTGAGATTACTCAGTTTTGAGAAGGCTTCAGGATGCCAAAATGCATCACATGACTTTTCTAATGTTAGCATTATTCCCCGGGTTGCTTCTGTTCCCTATAAAACAAGTCAAGGTAAAAATGTATAAAAGTCATGCAATAAATTATTATAAGAGTGCACAAACACAAGAACTTTGGAATGTCACCTTATTTCCTCCTAATACATGATTGGCATCATCCAAGGACAATATCCTAGAACGCTTGCTGGCATCACCAGGTGATTCTTGATAGACAACATGCTTAGCCACATTTTGCAAAATTTCATGCACCCACAAACGCCCTTCATAATTAATTACTAGTGATTTCTCAATAAGAACCCTTATTCCAATTTTTGTGTGAAGATCCTTATCGAACGTTTCTAAAATGTGTATGATATGATCTTCATCCATCCCATTGAAAAAGCAAGCAATATCCAAGAATATGGTTTTCTCCTGATCATCTAATCCGTGAAGACTCACTTCAAGTTCTTCGAAATGTCCTCTGGAGGATAGTTCTTGAACTTAGCCAGTGCATATTCCCATTCCTCTATCTTCCTTTTGCAAAGAAATGAACCTAACACTTTGATTGCTAAAGGAAGGCCTCCAGCATATTCAATGACGTTTGTAGCAAGTTTCAAAAAATTTTCATCAGGTTGCCCTTCTTTAAAGGCATTTTGAATGAGAAGTTCACGGGACTCACTATCAGTCAAGAATTCAATGTCATATATAGCACTATCAGATACACCATATGATGATAGCAAATGCTTATCCCTTGTTGTTATCACTATTATGCTCCCTTTGCTGAACCATCCTTGCCTTGGAGTGAAATTTTCAAGTTGCTCAATATGATTCACATCATCAAGGACAAGTAGAATTTTTCTGTTGGTCAACTTGCTTTTTATTAACTCCATTCCTTCATAAGAATCAGTCACTTCCATACTCCTTTTATCTAAAGAAAAAAGAAGTTTTCTTTGCAATGAAATCAAACGATCTTTTTCACATGCCTCTCTAATATTAGGAAGAAAACAATGATTCTCAAAGTTTCTGCGCTTTCGCTCATAAAAGGCTCTAGCAAGAGTTGTTTTCCCTGCACCTCCTGTGCCCCATATTCCTATAAACCCATCTCCTTTTGATTCACTTTCCACGATTGACTCCAATTTATCTAATTTTGGTTCAATTCCAATTAACCTGCCAAGACTAGATGCTGATTTATCAAGCAACTTTGACTCCATTTCTCCAACAAAGCTTTCAATGAATTCTGCTTCATACCTGCATATGAAAATAAAATTATAAAGTGATCTTTTTTACATGAAAATAGCGTGATCGTTTAAGTCAACTGAATTTTAAATTTTTATGCATAAACAATTTTAAAAAAAAGCAGGTAATGTGAGATGTAAAGAAAACATGACCACAAATTTAGCAGTTTTAAGTTTACCATGAAATTTAGTTTAAATTAGTGGAAATGGCAATAATTTCATTTATAGAAGAGTTGTACATTGCCTCTGGTATTTACAGACATAGACGGTTATGTTTATTTGTCCACACGCTTTAATAGCTCCTAGATATTCAAATCATTTAATTAGCACATCATAGTTTGAGTTTCTCTTTTCTGGTAGTACGTCTTTTTTTTTTTTTAATTTTATTTGAGCACCTTTTCACAATAAACGTTGTCAGATTACAAGTTCGAATCTAACGCTATTTAGTAACGTTTTCAACTATCAATTTTTTTTATATTAATTATTCATTATTTATTAATAAACAACGAATTTCAAAATTTAGAGAAATTATCAATTTTTAATATTAATTTTTTAATGGTTGAATATTACATAATAATAATTATTTTGTAATTTTACTATATACTGTTTGTGTGCAAGTGTATATTCAAGAAAATGTCCACTTCAGAATTCTATCATTAATCATTAATTGAGTTCAAGTCGAAAACTTAAATCATCTACAGCCAATACAGTCCTACAAGTCTATTTTACCAAGAAATATAAACAAAGGTCTACAATTAGATAAAAGGGCAAAAACATTAATTAACTTTCTATTTTACTTCAATTACGTACATAAATATTATTTTTATTTCAAAAATATATATAAACCTTCCTCATATGTTATTTTTATCTGTTCAATCATTAGTTTATTCAATTGTTAATTGAATGTTAAATTTAACTTTGAAACTTTTATTTTATCCAAAGTAACTCTATTTGACATAAAAAATTATTTAAATATTTATATTTGTCAAAAACATAATTTTTCATACAATAGAAAATAATTCTAATTCATATAATTTCAAACTTTCTAGATTGTTATAAAATTTATTAATTATTAATTTTGATTATTTAATGAAATTGTATAATTTTTTTAGTACATGTATTTATTTAGATTTCTTTTAAACGGCTAAGATTATGTTTCAAATGCGTATATTATTCATCATATATAACAAATGATATAAGTTTAACAGACTATATAAATAAAATAAATTTGTAACCTAAAATTTTTAAACATATTTTTGTAATAAACATTTATAAATTTGCAAATATATTTGTTGGGCTGAATTGATAAACACGTTTAGTCAAGTATATATTTATTAAAGAAATTACTAAAATTCTTAATTAAGTTTTTTTATATCTATGCTAATTAAATTACTTAAGCTTTTACCCAATGAAATTAAAACATTAGAAAAATAATTATTTGCAAGAGAAAAATCAAGAAAAAGAAAAAGAAAACACTTAATTCTTCAAAATAATTTTATCAAAAATTAGGAATCTAGTGTGATGAAAAATAAGTTAGTAAATAAATATCATTCCAGTACAAATTTAATTAAAAAATATCATTTTAAAATATTCTTAACAAAGTTAAGGATTTAAATTAAACTTGCGTGTATGTGTTTAAAAATAGATAAAAGGTCAATGTAATAAGGTAAATTTAAAGGATTTTTTTTAATAAATGACATTTATAATACGTTTTACCCCCTACCTATTTTAGGGAGGGACCTAGTCACCCGCCCAAGACCACACATCCTATCCCTAGGTGAATAGATCCTACAATCTCCTCAATAACAGAGGATGTGGCTAATCTTACAGTTTAGAGTATATTTGAATATCAATGTCCTTAATTTTCAACAAGAAAAGACATGGTAACTATTAAGAGAAGTGGAAATTACCCGTCGTTTAACTCCCAAACGCATATAGCAGCAACTTTTTCTAAATATCCCTCCACTTTCACACCTTCATTTTGTGTTGTGCAAATCTTTGTTCATGCTTTCTGAATGCCTCTGCAAAAGTTCCCTCTTGTTTCCTACATGGATGGATCTACATGGTAAAATATGGAAATACTTCAAGACTTGTCTGTTCTTTAAATGCAGGATCTTTTGAAGCTCATCCAAACACCAAGTTGAAGAAGCATAATGTGGAGAGAGCACGACAATTGCAGAACGAGATTCTTCAATTGCTTGTACTAAACCTGGATTAATATATTCTCCCTTTTCAAGTTTTTATCCCTAAAAGTTCTTAATCCTCGGCGTTTTAAAGCAGCATACAAATGATCAGTAAAATCTTTCCGAGTATCTTCCCCTCGAAAACTCAAAAACACATCATACTTCCTTCTCTTAGTTGAACCAGAAGAGCTTGAAGAACACCCAACTCCATCAGCACCACGCGCCATCACAAGGATTTGGAATCTGAACTCAAACAAAAGTAAAAACACAAAAAAAGAAAGAATAATACATATATAATAGGAGCTTTAACAAACAGTGCAGCAATCAGTCCAATGCCAAGCCTTGAGATAGGCATTGGGCATATTAAAACAAATAAAGTGAAAATTCAACATCACAAAATGCTGGAAGATCTATAACAGAAACAATCCATTTCACTGAAGAAAACAAGATATAATAGAAACATCAACAGACCAGGTTCTTCTTATCGCAAGATTCATTCACTCTTCACGCATAATTTCAAAGCAAAATTTCACAGATCTAAAACGGTCATTTTGGCGATCATAAATGTAGAAAGGAGAAAGGGAGAAAGTAAAAACCTGAAAGAGGAAATAATATCGAAAGATTTGTTCGATTCCAACCGGCCTGATATAAGATGAAGCCCAGCAGCCTGGTACAAGTTTTATAGAATGAAAAATGGAGAAACAGCGAGAAGGAAAGTGGTGGGAATGAGCTCAAGTCTTTGTCCTCTCTTCAGTCTTTGGGAATTCACATTTGAAACCGTGTTACGGACGGGACTACACTGTTCCATTTTGCTAAAGGACAGAACCATGTGACCCTGTGTCAGTGCTTTAATGGGTTTTCTTTTTTACTTTTTTTGTCATAAGACTTAATAGGAGCAGGGGAAAACCAGAGCATCCCTCTCTTAATTTCCAGCATATTCCCTGGATTCACATTCAAAGATGGAGGAACCTATCATAATTTTCAAGGCCGAGTTCAATTATAAAAGGCTAATATATTAGGTGAGATGACTCGTAAGTGTGGGACTCATAACAACATTTTTCTTTGAGAGTTCAATTCTTAAAAAAACTAACTAACAAGAGTTGGTCAATTTAGTAAGGAGTCGACTCATAACTCACAAGATCATGAGCTCGAATCTCACTGCTGATATAAAGACCTTATTGGTGGGTGATCTGTAAGGAACTCTATAAGCACTCTAAGTTTAAAGGCATGTATTAACCCTATTGAATTCCCAGGATTCAACTCGCCTAAACTTTTTTGTATCAACAAAAATTCAAAAAAAAACTAAGTTACTCCATCGAGTCCTTATTATGAGCTTCAAATAACTTATTTACGTATAGTGAAAAGTTAATTAAAACTAGTTAAAATCAATAAATAGGTTAAAAGTATATTTTTATTTTTAAATATGTCTCTGTAATAAATGAGAAAATAGACCAATACGAGAAAATGTAATGAGAGAGCATGACAAAGGAGGGACAATAAATTAAGAGCAAAATTGAAAAAAAAATGCATTAAATGATTAAACAAACCCAAAATAAAGCTTATAAAATGAATCACATCTCTCCACAAATTTAAAGCTTATAAATAGGAGTGGAGGAAGTATTAAATAGGAAAACATCTTGAATATATATCTATACTTCCCTTGCGAGGCATGCCAATATGGAAAATGAAAGAAAAAGAAAAAAAAAAAAAAAAAGCGAGTTCCAATATTACCATTTCCATGGACTTCACCACATATCCAAAGATGCACATTACTATCAAGAGCCATCCGTCTTCTCGCTCTTCAATATTAGTAAGAATTCTATCTTTATCTTGTGTTACTAGCCAATTGAAACTTCAAATGCTTAGAAAAAGCCCGGGGCCAAATTTAAAGACCATATTCCAATGTAGCAATTAATTAATGATGTATTCCCCGGTAAAAATAAACAATTAATTAATTAAAAAAAATTCTTTTACTTCTTTAACTTTATACAAGGTCCTTTTGGTTTAATCTTCTAACTTTAAAAAGTATATTTTTATTCTTTAACCCCATAACTGTTAACAAAAAAAAAAGACATTGTGATATTAAATATTGATAAAACATTTTTAAATGCTATCATATCAAGTTTAATTTTTAACATAATCATAATTGTTGCAAAAATTCATCATTTAAGACTTAATGATTTCAAGATTAAAATAATAAAAATATACTTTTTTAAAATTAAAGGATCAAGCTGAAGCATTATATAAAATTAAAAAAAATCAAACGTACGCTTTTGTCACTCATTAATTAATGCCTTTATTTATTTGTTTACTTATTTACATTGTTAAATCATATCTCTTTTTACATTGTTTACTCATTGATGAGTTGTTAAATCATATCTCTAGCTTGCCGCTCATGCCACTTAAAATTATCAAACATAGTGCAAAATAATGGGGAGGAAATGTCAAGCATAAATATGTTTGCGAATGAGGGAGGATAATTGTTTATATATGAATATGAAGAGTAATTTGTGATACTTTGCTCATTTAAATCAAATTATTTCCAGATTTAAGAGGAAGATGGGAACCCAATCTCATTCACCTAGTTCTCTGAAGTATGAGAAGATCAATGCCTAATTTGGGCAAAATATTAAAGAGCACTCTCACCAATACTATGCAAGAGAATTTTTCATTAGGAAATCCATCAAATTGCATCCGACCATGCGAAATCATTTTCTATCATTAAGCAAGTGGCTATGCCCGGCATTTGAAATACCTTAGAAGCACTTAAAAAAAGTGCTTTCATGTAAATCAAAACAAAACTCCTCTTATATACTTATCTCAAACACTATATAAAATTACTTTTGAAAAACTAAACCAAACACCCCGATCCAGCAAATTTTATAGAAAGAAAAATGGAGAAAAAATGAGAAATAAAAATGGTGGGAGTGAGCTCAAGTCTTCTCTTTTCTTCAGTCTTTGCGCGTTTAAGTTTCAAACCGTGTTACGGACGGAACTACTGTCTTCCACTTTGCTGAAGGACAGAACCATGTGACCCTACCTCGATGCTTTGTTAGATTCGATTTTACCTTTATAAAGTATGTATATGTGAGCAAACCCCAAAAAGACTTTGGAAAGACTTGCTTTTATTTTATCATCGTGTTCTAGGCTGCACGACTCATGACTCCCCTACTATACGTTGCTTCGCTTTGGAAGCCAATGGAAGAAGGCGAAGACCAGAGCATTGCTCTCTTAATTTCCAATTTATTCCTCGGATTCACATTCAAAGAAAGAGGAACAAAGTGCCAGCTAAAATAAAAAATTCAATTCCAACAAATTAGCCTATGAGCTGGGAGAACTCACTTATAAAAGACACGTGACAACGCACCCTCTTCAAGAGTCTAATTTCTAAATGCTAACTTTACTAGATAGGAAAACCCCTTGAACTCATAAACCATATACAATCTTTTGTTTTTAATATAAGAACTAGTTGGATATTCATTTTAGTCATAAATATAAGATTCCAATTTATTTTTTTCTCATATTTATCTATTTTGCCGCAAAGTAATATATATGATTATTACAATAATTGTTTCAATACACATTATTACTAATAATATTTTAAAAAAGATAACACATATCTACTATAAATAATTAGCTAAACTAATTTTCTTGATATTTGCAAATTAGTTTTTAGCTACCATATTAAAGACTGGAGATAGTATTTTCCTTGTGAGGCTGCAAATCTTTGGAAGATGTAGGTGGTTTTTCCCTTTGAGAATGAGAAGAAACTCTAAAGTATTCCAAAAGGACCAAAACTCACAGATATTTTACAAAGACAGTTTGCCATCTCTAAAAGTGAAAGCAAAGTAGTACTCTTAAACAGAGTTGTACTGAATCTTAAAGCTCATTGTGGTTTACTATCATGAAAAAGGCCCAATAATCATATGGATCAAAAAAGCCATTTAGAGACTAATACAAAAGATGAGAAAATGGCCAACAAACAGGCTATTTGGGCTTTGGAGTAATTTGAAATATTTAGAGTGTGCGAGTGGATTACACTTCATCCACCCCTTATTATAATATTCAAATCTTTGCATTGATTCATTTCTTGGTACAAAATACCCTTTTAAATATAAAATATATTTTTACCATTTTGCCCTTCATTAATATACTCATTATTTTTTTCCCAAAACATTCTCTCTCTCTCTTTAAGTCTCAACTAGCCACTTTTAAGCAAGGATATATTTGAAATAAAAAATATATTTCCTGCTTTTGACTAATTTTAATAGTTTTATTAAGTCATGCACTTCGATTACTTGAACCTTATAATAAATGATAGAGTAAAAAATTAATTTGAAATTGCTTATAATTTATCTCTTTTTTTAGTGCGGCCCTTACATTTTAAAGGCTTATAAATCACCATTTGCACCGTTAGTTCTTACAGTCAAGATTCCTCCCCCCTCCCACAGCTTACTGAAATCAACTCGATAAAGAATATGCCATATGAGAAATTATTTGCTGCTGCCATATTATTCTTTACCTCTTTTTTTTTGTGACAAAAACACAGGCAATAAAAGTAACTATCCACGTTTGCTTGTTTCCATTATACAAAGCCATTATTAAATCCAAAAACTCCTCCAAGATGGTATCGCCCAACTCTCCAGAATTCTGAAAGACTGGTGGAGGGAGAGATGTTGGGGAATTGAAGAGTTTGTTGCTAAACTGCTCACTGAAGGAATTCAAAATCATATTAAAAC